CCTTTACAAATAATATATCTGGAAATATATACAATGTAATATTTTTAATGAAATATTCATAAATTATTCACTCAGCTTTATGCAGAACCAAAATCTTTATAAAGATCAAACAAAAAATGAAACTAAGATGTGAAGGAAGAATTTTTTTTTGAACTACCAGCTTTTTATAACCAAATAACGTTCAAGTTTTGACCAAGGAGAACAGGAATTAATTCTAAACATACTAAATAATTTATTTATAACAAGTGTGTATGTAGAGGTCGTAAAGTAAGAAAGCACTCATTAAAACATATCTGCAATAGTGGGAAAGTGAATATAGGTAGTTAGTAGCTTAGTACTGTGTTCAGGATAAACTTCCATTGTTTCTTAAGTTAGTTTCTAAATGAAGATTTTCATTTAGAGGCTTTTCCAGTTCTGTTTATATTCAGTATTATTTATAATACTGTCTTAATAGTTGGCCCATTCTTTTTTCTGCCACTTTGATTTAGCTATTCACTAACTCTTCTTATTTCTTATGCATTACAAGACAATGTTTATTATTTAACTGTGCGGTCATGAAGATGATAAAACAGGGTTTTTTTGGAAGACAGAATTTGTTCATTAACTGGAGCTCCCTCTTCTGGCTGGCTGCCTCTGTAGCAACACAACAAAAATCCCAATGTCCTTAAGCAAGCACTTCGTTTCTCATAAAGGCTACTCCCTAAAGAAAAAAAAATTATTATTATTATTATTAAAGTGGCTCAAAATTTGCTTGTAATCCATTATACGGTATCCTTAACATGGAATAGGCTAGAACAAGCTGACCCAGTAGTCATGTTGATACTGGCCCTGTAGTCATGAGTCCAGACTATACTCCATGCCGAAGTCATTTGATTAGACTTGCACACTGATTTGTTCCATATGGTTTTCTCCGTGGGCTTCTGTCACTCAAGCCACCAAAAAAAGTTGTATCCTATACTGAGAAATGTAAATCTTCTTGGGAAGAAAAGGAAAGGCCAAAGAAAGCTGACTAGAGAGTCTGCCTCATAGCGACAGCATAAGCATACAATCTCCCAACTGGATTTGTGCCATCCTTAGTCACGCACAGCTGGTGTTTGCTCACCAAAATACTCTGTTCATAAACAAGGAATCTCTATTCTATTATTGCTGGCATCTATTAATTCAAGTTGTTTCTGGTATAATAAATTGTCTCTGGCCATGCAGCTTTCATAAATAGTCATCCCAGACTGAATAAATCGTCCTGGCATAAAAACCAAAAATTCCTTTCAGTGCTCCTGGGGGAGTGGAACTGACTGCTGCTACATCAAAGGAACTAAAAGAATCAGCTGTCAAAACTAAGCAAGCAATTAAAAATAGGACACTAGGGTAAAGCCCAAGTTATTTCTCAATACAAAAGGAAAAGTTATATACATTAATATATCTCAGTACAGCTACAACAGTTTGCACAATTCTTAGTACTAATTAACTAAACCATCTATAACAAGTAACCCAGAGGTGCTACAGTTCTTATGATCTAGCACAGAACCAAAGGCTATATCTCTAGCCCTCCTGCCCTTGCATAAAAAATATTTTATATCAGAAATTATCTTTTCATCAGGTATCTAAATGAAATCCTCTATCTAAATTATTTTCTATGAATAGTGGAAAGCAAAAATATGCCAAATAGTCTGGGCACAAGATCTTGACCCATGAATTCCTGAATCCTAAACCCAGATTTTCTAATGAAACAATATGGCCTAAAGAGAGACACTGGGGGTACCTCTAAGGTTTTGTGTTGCCAGCTATCACTGTTGTGTCTGAACATGTACAACATAAAACAAACTAGCAATAATATAACTCCTAGTGGACTTCAAAAAATTGCTGACTCCTGTGCCTTTTTAGGTTATAGAAAGTTCTTCTTGGTATAATTTTTTGCTTTGCTTTGCTTTGTTTTTTATTTAAAAGGGGGAAAGGGCACTGCTTTTACATTAGGAAGGCTGTTCTGGTTATTCTGGAAAAAATATTATTTGATAGGAAGGTTTTTCAACATTTTCTGAAAGTGGTCAGATTTAGAATTAAGTCTAAACTCCTCTAAAAATTGGTTCCATAACTAGATTCTCTCAATTAATAATATTCTCCCTCACCCCCACATTAAATATTTGTCCACATTTAGTTGCATTGTCCCAAAGAAGCACAATTTTAAAAGGTTTGCCTGAAGATGTGTTTACCAAAGCAGCTGTGATCTGATCTGTTTTTGGACTTGATTAGTGGGATTTATGGCCTTAAAATTACCACAGAAACATACAATAGCCATCTTAATATGCTCTTGATAGACTATCAACATGACACTTTTTTTCTCCTAAAAAACTAAAAAAAACCCCAACAAGAACAAAGGCTCCCATCTCTGTTATCAATGACAGTTGAGTACAGAAGGCACCCATGACCACCACAGTTCTTACTATTGTGTTATCTATGTGCTGTGTGTTCACGTCCTTAGATCAGTATATTCCTCCTTCACATTGTTGTAAAAGTATAATGGGTGCTACTCTGGTGTAAGTACCTTGACTCTGGGGTAAAATTAGATTGATCCAAACAAAGTGCAGATGTTAACAGAGACACAATTGCAACGCCAGGTATTGCCACTGGAAAACTGAAGACCTCAAGGACAAAACACAAGGCGGCACAGAAAACCAAGCACATTTCATTCATCACAGGAGAGGCATGTGCTCATATTGTGAGGAGCTAAAAATAATTCTTGCAGAAGACAAGAGCACTGGGGTACATATCATTGCTGCCTCTTGCCTTTTATCACAGCAAGAAGAAAGAAGCCTAAAGAAGCAGTGCGAGGCAAAGATGGAGATAGTGCTGAAAGTCTTCTCCTACATGAAACAGGGAGCAAAAATTAGTCCCACAGGCAGTTGATGACAGCTCTAATTGGACTACCATAGGTTCCCAAAGGCTCCAGAGATTCAGCTCAATTGACCACAAGTAGCTGCTGCCCTCACAGCCCCTGTCACTTACAGCAGGGGTTGTCAACCATAGGTACGCATGCCCCGGCGGTGCTTGAGAAGGCCCTAGGAGATGCGTGTAGGCAGGCAGGGACAGAGCACCGCTAAGCACCATCCTGTGCTGCTGCCACCCACCCATCTAGCCGGATGTGGGGGGGCAAGGGAAAGCTCACATGCGGTGGGTGCCACCCCACTCCCCCACACTCTGTGTCCGGCTGCTGGGAGTACACTGATCCAAAAAGGCTGAAAACCCCTGACTTAAAGTGATAGTAAACATTGCTGCAAGGGCAGTATGGAAATACTCATTCCCCAAAGAAACAAGATTCCAGGATCTAAGGACTACATGCGCTACTGTTGATGGGGATCTGCATCTACACACACCACTTTCACCAGTAAACCCACACCTATTTCCTCAGCACATGCCATGTCATTATGGACAACCCCACCCAAAGTTACACCCAAAGCCCTCCATTTACCTTGTAGTCAAGACCACTGTCTTGTGCTAGCCATTCTGTCCAACTTTAAAAGTCATGCACCATCCTTTCCTGAAGGGTTCATGACCTGCAGCTAAGCCCTCCTCCCCACTTCCCCTCCTACTCAAAAAATGATTTTTTGGAGTGTGGAGCACCCGGTTTCAAATCTATACCATCAAATCTCCAAGCACTTAGTGGAAATGCCCTGCTAGTGTTTGACACTCCATTTATGATCAAAGCCAACCACACGTGTTGGCTTTACACTTTCCCAGTTTCTCAGTTACAAGCATCCTGGGCACCCACAGCACCTGGCTTGTTTTTGCTCATGGTAATTCTACTACCCAGACAAGATGGACAAAGACATCAAATAATAAAGGAAGTGGCACAGAGACATCTCATTCACATCTGCCCCCAAGTCAGTGCACAGGAGTTCAACTCGCAACATTCACCAGCTTAAATTAACAGTACCCAAGTATTGCGGGAAAAGGCTAGCTACCTCAACAGCCCTGCAAACCATGTCAATAAAACCTTCAAAAGGAGGGTGGAAAGATTTCTTTAACACGAAGAACCCTCCCCATTCCTACCAGGAGCTGAATACTAGTATATAGCAGAAGCATTGTCTGCACTATCATCACAACCAGTAACAGAGTCCATGGCTTTGTGATTAATAATTTTGCATGAGAACCTTCAGCAAAGTCATCTGGCTAACTTGCAATCAGCAGAAGTAAAGGCCTTTGACAATCTGGCCTTAAGTTCCCAGCATGCACTGGGGCACCTACTCTAGAAGCCATCAGGGATCCTGAGCTTCAAATGATGCTAGTGTAGCAGCTCAGCCAACATCTCAGCTAGTGCAGCAGCTCAGCCAAAATAACTACGAACTGTGTGAGCTCTATACCACTAGAATGGTGTCAAATGTATTTGTGTGTTCACTCCATCACCAGCACGCATGTGTTTCTATCCACCCTTAACACTGGTTACAGCAAGTTTAAACTGCTACAGAAGTCCTGCATGCACTATTATCACAACCAGTAACAGAACTGAAAGGAAGGGAAAATGCTTATTACCAGGGATCCTTGTTTAATCTGTTTAAAAATCCCAAATTCCAATTTCCAATTCCACCAAAGTAAACCTGTATTACCATGAAAAATGTTTTGAGCAGTAGCCACATACACATAATGTTTCCAATTCCATATCATGAATTTCCAAATCCATATCACACAGGCTCCAACCCCACATCAGTATTCACTCATATGCCCATGCATCCCAGCAGAACGACAGAGAAGTCACTGACACTTATAGTGGAATGGGAACACCGCTGACAAAGCCAAATGAAGAACCAGAGCTACTGAGTCATTGACTTGTTTTATTGCATTAGCACAATAAATGTAAATTCAAGGCTATTAAAAAACATTCTTCCCAGAGTAACTATGTTCATTTCACTTATGACTTCCCCAATAGTAACTGTATTATTTACAAGAGTTGAATTAGCTTTATGCTAAATTAGTTTTAATGTTAAACTAATAATTAGATTGTCACCTACCGAGTCATTTGCTGCTAATGCAAGGGCTATGTTTACTGTAAGAAAGAAAAAAAAATTAATTGCAGTAAAATGTTATTGGCCAAAAAGTTTAAAACAATACAAATGTCTTCAAGAAGGGACATTTAAAATGTCTACATTTAATATAAATATTGAACATATAATTGTTACCTTGGTTTTAACCCTTATGCTTAAGCATCAGCAGCACTAATGTTTCAAAATACCTGCTACTGGACTGGCAAGCTCAAGCTGAGAGTACTAGTTATTTTACTTATTTTTGGGTACAGACAGAAGTCAGAACAGGTATAGCTCAAGCTAACAAAGCAGTAAAAAAAGGCTTTAGTTCCTAAAATACTAAACCATACATGTTTTTCAAAGCATTTTATCAAAAGAGCAGCTTTTTATCTTTTAAAAGATCTTTCAGCCTTTTGTTGAAGAATTCAATACCTTTACAATTTTTTCAAAACTATGGCACATTGTGCTAGAAAAAAATATTCCTAATGCAAATATCCTAATCATGCTTTTCATTCATCATCATAACATTTCAATTCACAATTAAGTATTATGCTTTTTATGGGTAACCTACATCTTTAGAATCAGGCTCATGCCCTTCCTGATTCCTTACAATACATAGAAACACTTGATATTTTCTAAGAAAGAAAAGAATGTTTTCTGCCTGATTTTTACATTAGAAATCTAAATCCTGTCTACCCAAGCAGCAGCTATGACAACTAAAGAATCAGCAATATTTAGGACCAAAACCTAAAAAATTAAGGATTTTTGCATGTTAGAAGTTTTTAGTTTTTTGTCCACCCTTATATAATTCCAATATCTAAGTTGGGTGAAAGGATTTATTGCTAAATGTTTACAGCTAAGCTCCTCTTCAGTTAAGACACAGCATTTCCAACATGACTTCCAGGAAAACCAGAGATTACACACACCTTTCTTGATAAGTCTAAATTAAAAACAAGTCTTTAACAAAAACCTTTTGTAGAGGAGAGATAGAAATGTTCAATGCTTTCTATACATATTTTACAGCAGCAAAAAAAAAAAATGCCAGAAATCCAATTTAAAAGACAAAAATATCATAGCAGATCACCTTTAAAGAAAAACATTAATTTATGCTAATGTTACTAAAGGAGTAGGATAAAAGAAAAGTCATTTGACAAGTATTCCTTACAGCCGTTTTGCATTGCCATTTTCATCCAATGTAACTCACCCTGCATGAAGTTCAAAAGGTTATCAACCCTGCACTATTTGTAATATACATACACACATGCATTAAGGTTTTCACTATTTATATAAACATACATTACATCCTACATTTTTTTTTTACTGTCTGTATAAGAGGATTTCAACAAAACTTAAGTTCTTATATCAGTCTTGTAAAACGACCCTGAACAAATGTTATAACTGTCTCCTCCCCAAAGGCCCAATCCCTGCATCTATTCCCTGCTAATAACTCCTATTCCCTGCATCTATTCCCTGCTAATAAATCAGTATTAAGTCTGTATATGGCAGGATTTCAGCGTGGCAGAATTTCATCAACAGATTGTCCCTTCTGACTTCTAAAAATATATTAATGGAGGTAAGAGAACAGAAGAACTGTTTAAAAGCTAACTGGGATAGATGTATGAGCATCTATTTATTTATCAACAATTATAAACAAAATTGAGTCATTTTAACTCCATGAACAATGAGCCAATAATTTTATTTTCCCCCAGTTACAGAGTCAGCAATATATGACCAATGCCACAATCTACTGATGTTCTTCTACTTTCACAGCTGAAAATCATCTCCTTCAGAATACAGGAAAATGTTCTTTTTACAAGTCCTCTCTTATTAATGGCTCTCATACAAAGATAAATTTTCTATAGCAGCTCCCATTTAAGGTAACTAAAGACAAACAAAATAAAAGTCTGGACACACTGCAAAAATAAAGTATCTTGTTCAGAAATTCTTAAATGAAAAATGAAAAGGGAGGTAGGGAAAATAAATATAAGCCACATAACAGGCAAGTGAAAATAGCATAAGAAACCAGAAACACCAACTATACACACAAACCTTTTCTCACAAAGTTATGCTTTCTTTCAGTTACAGATAGAAAGTGGTTTCCAAAATACACAGATCAGATGTGGGAATCTAGAAGAAGTAAAAAAGGGAAGTTGATCAGCTTCTCCTGTGCTAGGACAGTTGTATGGGAGTGACAGAAGGACAGCACCATGCAATTGCAATTACAATGGCCAACCAAGAAGTAGCCTTGATAGACTTTTCCAAGACAAATATCCAATTCCCTAAAATGGAAGGACTCATGTTTGGGACTGACATATAAACATACAAAAAAAATACTGTTCCTACATTGGCTGCAAAGTAATTATGTGCCTAAACCACTGGTTCTCAACCTTTTTAGATTCACTCCTCAATAGACTTAATGCACCCCTCAAAGAACATAGTTTTCACTCAATTTAAGAGTGCAGAAAAATAATAAAGCAATCCTTCTGTTGCAAAGAACTTACAAAGACTACAACAGGTCAAAATAGATTAATAGTATAAGAGCGCATACAGAAGTGACAATTTTCACCTGATCTGACCACAGGAAGCAGTCTACAGCCATAACCAAATGCAAGCTGCAGACAGCTTCAAAAACAATCGATTGGTCGAAACCTGAACTCTCATTACATGAGGGGTCAGATTAAGACATTTCAAAACAAAGCATCTTCTGCAACTTCTGTCTACAGTGCCTCCCAGCCTCCAGCTATTTTCATAATGGGAGGCGGGAAAAGAGAGAAGAAGGAAATTCCAGTATCAAAAAATAACATGCTGGAAAAAAAGCAGCACAGGGCACACATTTGGAGCATGCCCTGAAGCAACTGAAGGCTGGGTCCTTCAGAGACACTCAGGCACCTGGTCAGAGCATCTCTACGGCTGCCCTTTGCCTATGCTGGCTTGGCATACTGAGGCAAAGAGCAGTGGGGCAAAGCTGCAGCAGCAGCAGCTTGG